TTTTTTTGTTGTTTGTTTTTCAAAACAGGGTTTCTCTGTGTAGCTTAAACTCACAAAGATCATCCTGTCTCTGCCTCTGCCTCCCAAGTGCTGGGATTAAAGGTGTGCACCACTGTCACCCAGCTAACCCATAATTCTTATCTACGTTTTGGCCACATGGATTGGTACCTTTTCTGTTAGGCATTCTCATCTTGCTTCCTCTGCATCTGGCTGGCAACTGTATCTCTGCCTTTCCTCTTCTCAGAATTCTCCTAGTCTGTTTGCCCCACCAAGACATCCTGCCTGGCTACTGGACAATCAGCATTTTATTAAAACATTATGAATAACAAATCTTTACAGTGAACCAGAGCATTATCCCACATCAATCTTCTTTATGTTTTTAGTTTTAGTTTTTATTTCAGATAATTCTGCAGATTCTGAGGTTTGGTCTCTTCTTTATATCCTAGACTTCTTGAACACTATGGTACATTTTTTTTTCCTTATTGATAGTTTCATTTATTCAACCTTCCAGGTGTGTACCTTAGGTACTTAAGTGCCATTTCCATTCCCTCTTAACAGGCAGAGGTAAGAACTGGAGGTATACAGACACACCAATCATTCCCTCAATAGATACACGGTGTAATTCTCTTTTAAAACAATCATATCAACTTTCTATTTCCATTAACATCATGGAGGTAATTTTATTCTTCCTTTTTACATATCCATATATATATATCTCTTACTGGTTGATGAATAAAGCTGTTTTGGCCAATGGACAGGCAGGATTTAGCTAGGCAAGAAATCGGAACAGGGATAGAGAAAGGAAATAGGCAGAGTTAATGAATTGCCATGTAGCTTCAGGGGAGGCAGGATTCCCGGGCATTACCGGTAAGCAAAGGCTACATGGAGATACACAGATTAATAGAAATGGGTTAATAATTAGGAGAGAGATAACCAGTAAGCCTAAGTCAATAGCCAAACAACTATACTTATATATTAAGTCTCAGAATGGTTTTTCATAGCAACTGTGGGGACCCAATTGGAGAGAAATCAGTCCAGTGGGATTGAGAATAGATGAGAAAAATCTCCCAACAGACCTGCACCTCCGAACTACCATACTCCAGAGTTATTCACAGGTGGGTTCTGTTCCTGGCCACTGAGAGAGAAGATACTTTTCCTTATTGACCTTACTGAGATGATCTTCTTGTTTGACTTGTTAGTATCCAGGTATTCCACTCACTGCAACTGCCTCCAGAGCTGTCTCTCACTCTGGAGCTAAGGCCTGTTAAATTTAGAATCCTTGGTTTATGGTTGTTTCCTGTTCTCTTGCCCATAGGGTAGCTCAGTTTTTAAGTTTTCTTAGGATGGCACTAGGAAACTGCTCTGGAGCCTTACAGAGTGGATGAGGGTGGGAAAGAGGGAGGTATGGGAGCAGGAGAAGGGGGGGAGTGGGAACTGGGGTTGGTGTGTAAATGAAAAATATTTTTTTAATTAAAAAAGATGTTCTATTGCTAACTTTGTGAATTTCTGAAGCTCTTCCTCTCATTGGAATAGTTATTTTATTCTCACTCTTCACCATTAGGTCACACAGCTGCTAGTCTATCATTTTCCTAGAAACCTGAGTATATATTTTTATTTTATGTAGGTATTAAGTGGTATGATTTGTCCACTTTTCAATTGGGTTGCTTTTTGCTGTTGTTGTCTGAGGTCTTTATATATTCTGGACCCTAGATTCTTAAGATATGATATCTGTAAATGTTTTGGCCCATCTTCTGAGTTTTAATTTTTTATGGTGTTGATGTACACATTTCTAAATTTTCATCAGGTCTAACAACTTTTTTGTGGTTTCTCTAAAATGTCATACCTAAAACCAAAGTCATAAAGATGTGCTTATGTTTTAATATTTTAATTGTTACAAGTTCTTACATTTAAATTGTTAATACATTTTTAGTTAACACTCACACATGATATGGGATGGGGGTCCAGATTCATTGTTCTGTGCAGATATTTAGTTGTCAAATCACCAGCTGTTCAAAGGACTATTGCTTCCTCCATTCGATTTTCTTGTCATTTTTGTTAAAAATCAGTTCACCATAAACATGTGCATTTATTTCTGGAGTCAATTCTATTCACTGTTAGTGGAAAATAGTATTTTAAGTCCAGCAGTTGGTGGCAGGTGTGTACCTTAGGTACTTAAGTGCCATTTCCATTCCCTCTTAACAGGCAGAGGTAAGAACTGGAGGTATACAGACACACCAATCATTCCCTCAATAGATACACGGTGTAATTCTCTTTTAAAACAATCATATCAACTTTCTATTTCCATTAACATCATGGAGGTAATTTTATTCTTCCTTTTTACATATCCGTAAAAGATGTTTCAAGTATGAAAAAACTTGCTCCAATTTTTCTCAATGCATTAACTTATTCACTCAATTATTTTATTTAATGTAAGAGATCATTTTCTCCTCTTTACTGTAAGGGTACTGACCCAGGACAATTTTCACTAGATCTTGTTCCTGCCCTGCTGCTACAAGGCTAAGAACTCTTAAGCCTTCTTGAAGTAACCCCAGCCATAGGAACCATGACACCCCACGTGTCCATTCCTCCTCTTGCATGCCCATTCCATACATTCTAACTCTGATGAGACTACCAAAAAAAAATATCCAAATTGCTATAAACTCTGCTCCAATGCAAACAGTTTAAAAAAGATGACAGATGTTGAGATTGCCTGTTTATATTCCAGTTTGTGCATATGGATGCTCCCTTTCACTGAGGTAAGAACTGTAAGAGAATATGGGTTGGGTCAGATACATGTTAAAATTTAGGTTTATCAAATTCAATAAGGTAATAAGACTATCTAGTAGAAATATACAATGAGTAGCTAGAAATCTAAGTCTGGAGTTCAGACAGAGGTGGAAAGAGAGAAATGGATTTGTTTGAAATTGCATGGAGAGGTTTATGAATACATTTTAGAAGGGACAGATATAGGAAATAATAAAATACATGATAAAAAGTGGTAGATTTGGGAGAATGACCATCTGTGTCAAGCCAGAGGTTTATTAATGGCAGTTTTCAAAAAAGAATGTTAAGTGTGACTATGTGGAGGTTATTTGTGACTTTAGGAGAAATGGTTTCAAGGCCGGTGTAGATAAGGTCAGAATGCAGTTTCCATGTACAGAAAATAAGGAAGCAGCTAGGTATAGTGTTGTATGCCTGTAATTTTAGCATTTAGGAGGTTGAGGCAAGAAGTCTAGATTGAGGCTGACAAGGGCTGGAACATGAGGTCCTATCATTTTCAAAAAAGGCTTTAAAAAAAGCAGAGGTAGAACATACCTACCTAAACAAGTACCTTCCGTTTCAATCACTTTGACTGTGATTGAAAATGCAGAATCTGAGAGGATACAAGTTTGTATGTTGGAACGCAATATTTTGTGTAAAGGTAAACCACATAGATCACTGTTCTTCCTGATGATGAACATTTTAAAAGTATGAACACTGACTGAAAAGTAACCTTCATGGTCACTAATATAATCTCATTCATGAAAATGAAACAGAGATTTGTGTTCATAGTTGGCCTAATATTCAAATCGTTTTATCCCCCCATCCCAGGTCTTCTTTATATTACTTTTCCTCCTTCCCTTTTTTCCAGAGACAAGTTCTTACACAAAGAACCCAACTGTTTGGGAATTATATAGCTCAGGCTGGCTCTAAACTTGTGGTAAGTCTCCTGCCTCAATCTCCTGATCTCTGGAATTACAGGCATGTTCCTTACACATGGCTCATCAGTCAGTCTTATTTCATAAAATGGAACCTTACTTCCTATTATTTAAACCTATAAATTTGTATTTTGCAATAATTATAGACTTATCAGAAATTGTAAAAATAGTTCAAAATCCCATGTACCCTTTACCCAGTTTGTCTTAGTTGTAAGATCTTTTACAACTTTAGAATTTCAAAACCAACATTATTGTAATGGTATAATACTGCTAAGTAGGCTACAGACTTTATTTGCTTCTATTAGATTTTCTATTAGATTTTACATACATTGATTTTTATGTATATAAATCTATAAAATACTAACACAGAAATACATTTATGTACTAAACACTAAATTTAAGATACAAAACTGTTTCATAAGCCTAAATGAACTCTTATGTCACACTGTAATAACATTACATATGCTATACAAAGCCTAGTCCCTGACTCATTAACCTGTTCTTCCTTTCCATTAATTCTGACATTTCAGCAATGCTCTAGAAATGCAACCACATAGTTAGTGACTTTTTTCCTTTACTATATGCCTCAAAGCTCATCTAAATTATATAGGTATTAGCAACATGATCCTTTGCACTACAGAGTAGTAGTCCACAGTAAGAATGGTTTATTTAGCCATTTATCCACTGCAGAACATTTAGGTTGTTTCTAATTTGCAGCTATCACAGATAAAGCTGCCAAGAAAAATTTTGTAGAAGTTTTTGTGCCAAGATAGTGTGATTGTAGGTCATGTTAACTGTATGCTTAATTTTATAAGAATATCCAAACTCTTCTACCCAGAAGCTATACTTTACATTCCTATCATTGTATGAGAAATCTATCTTGCATCCTCAACATACTCTCTCTTCAGCAATTCTGATAAGTATATACCATGCTACATTGTAGGTTTAATTTGCATTCCCCAATGACATAATTACTTCTATTTGCCTTCTTTAGTGACAATGTTTACATATATTTTCATTTTCTACTAGGATTGTTTATTTTTGAGTTTTGAGCATTATTATCTTTTCTATTGATCAGATATTATGACATAGTTTACAAGTTATTTCTTGCCTTTCCTATTCTTAATATTTTGCAGAACAAAAAGTTTTAATTTCGATGAAATCTAAATATCTACTCTTTTTTCTTTTAGATTGTTGTGGGTTTGAGTTTAAAATTAAATACCTGACTCCTGAAAACTTTTCTTGAATATTTTTTTTTCTAAGTTTTCTACCTTACGTTTAAATCCATGACACATTTTGAGGTACTTTTAGAATATATTTTGTTGGCTTATGGAAATTCAACTTGTTGAAATGACTGTCCTTTCTTCTTGATCAATTTGTACTTTTTCAAAATTAGTTAAGCATATTGTGTTGTTATTTCTGAATTTTCTTTCCTGATCCATTGATTTACAGATCTATTCTGCAAATATCATAGTATCTTGGTTACTGCAGCTTTATAGTAAGTCTTGAAGTTATATTATGTGGGCTCTCCAACTTCATATTTTTCAAAGTTGATTTAGTATTTTCATCTGCCCTAAAAAAAAATTAATGAAGAATAATTATAGTAGAAGAAAATTAGAGGAAATATAGCATTTATATTCCATTTGCCCTAAGAATATTTGTTTTTAACTATAAGTATGTTTCAGAATCAGGTAAGTAGATCATGTAGATTTCTTGGTTTTAGCTTGTACGATTTTAAAAAACAACAATCTAGGAGAAAATAAGGAGAAAAACCAAAACCCCCAGTTATCACTGTAGTGATATTATCTGTTTTCCTTCTTTTTACTCTTTTTCCAATTCCCACTTTAGTTTCCAGTATTCAACAGGCTCAGGCTCAACTTTTTTCTGAGGACACATATATAATTAGTAGCTACATATGAATGAATAATAAAATACAATCATCAAATTTTTTAAGTATGATTCTATTATAACATAAATCCTAAAAAAAGTAATGGTTATATTATAATTGAATTCTTATACAGGATCAGTAAGAATTTGCTTAGGCTCAAATAAACTAGAGCGCAGTTGTTTGTTTAAAAGAGCATCCCCACAGATACAAATTAGTTATCTCATAATATGTATTCAGAAACCAAGAAGGAAGTCCTGATACATGATTCTAAGTGAAAATAATCAACAGATATAGGTGCCAACGAGCCACCTGCATGTATTTCCATTAACCCTACAGTACTTAGGATTTACTTGCCTAGCAAAATCATCAAAGTATAAAATAGAAGGTGTTCTTCCTTTATATTATTATATAAGATGTATATATCTGAAAATAAAAACAAGACTTCAAATTCTAAAATGTTTATGCTGCTGGTGCACATCTTTAATCATACCATATAGGAAGAAGAGGTAAGTGGATTTCTGTGAGTTTTCAGACCAGCCACTGCTATATAATAAGACATTGTTTCAAAAAAATTATGCCAGGTATTTTCATTGAGAATAAATATTTAATGTCAAGCATGGTAGGTGACACATTCCCTTAATCCAAGAACTACAGAGGCAGAGGTCGGTGGATCTCAGGGTTTGAGGACAGCTTAGTAAGTATGCATAGGGAGTTCCCAGGGCAGCTAGGGAAACACATTAACACTTTGGCTCAACAAAACAGAATACCTTTAAAATTTAAAATAAACTCATCAGACATTTTATTCCTAGATATTCCTTGTTAATTTGCCTCCTATACTTCTTACAAAATAACTTTCACATTCTGCTTAAATCATCCTGAATGTTTTCTTTTACTGTAACTACAAGAAAGAGAATTCTATAAGCTCTGGGGAAATTTTAGGAAGACATCTTGTGCTTTTATATACATAAAACTGTTCATTGGGATATAAAAAGTGCTCCTGAATTATCTGCCTACATAGGAGTTGTATATAGTTTTGGGCCATATTCAGCACACAAACTAAAAAAAAATTACCACATTTTTTTCCTCTTGCTTTATTCTAGGGAAGACAGCTCCTCCATAAGCTCTTCCTTTTCTTGTTGCAACTCCTGCAAATGCTGCTGGTTTTGCTCCAATCTGTCCTCCAACCACTGTAGTAGAGGCCCACTGACTGCTGACATCTGACTGCATAAATTCTTGGTAAACACTTCAATATGAAGAGAAAAAAACAAACAACTATGAAAAGTTCACTGGCATGTTCCTACTATATTACCAACAGTATCTAAGTTCTGGGCACAGGAAAAAGTGCATGGAGGAAAAATTTCTAAAGTACAATAAGTAGGACTGGTAAGTGATTTTCAGTAGTGAACTAGGGGGAAAAGAACTGAGCAAAGCAGATACATTTTCTGAAGTCCTAGCCAAATAAAAATCTAACTATGCAAAAAATAAATACAAAGGAGAAAGAGGATTAGCTCTTCATTTCTTCAAGTGAAAGGACTAAGAACGCACATAAGGGTTCTTTTCTCCAGTAGGACTCTATTGTCTACTGTTTATTGTGGTACATGCCTATAAGTCTAGTACTTGAGAGGCAGAGGCAGGCAGATCTTTGTGAATTTGAGAACAGGGTGGTCTATTATATTGAGTATTTTTGCTCCTTAAATTTAACCCAGGAATTCTTCCAACTATTACTACAATAGGTTGGTGGTAATGCAATAAAACCAGGTCATGATGGCATAATGCTAAAATTTCTGGAAGTTATTGAGCATCCATGCTAAATAATACTAGGGAAACTGGGATTCCCCAAAAGGTAGTGTTTAAAGATATATCAGCAAGCCAGTGAGCTAGTTTATGAAAAAGCTTTTCCAGTTTTCCTTCTGTCTTATCAAAGCCACATTTATAGTATTTAAGGCTCTGTAGGGTTCCAAGGAAATGTAAGGAGCAAGATTAGTTAAATTTCTTGAGAAGGTAACTTCAAGATAAACTAAAATTGTTTCTAATAAAATGAGTATGTCAGAGATCACTTCATATATTCCAGAGGGTGAAAAATATCTTACCTGAGCCATTATGGATCTTGGTTACTGAGTCCAGATGTGTAAGGCTAATGGGGAAAGGTACTTTAGGTTAGCAAAAAAGCAGAAACAAAATGGTCAGTTGTTTAACAAAATCATAAGCTGCATCAAACCTTTGCCAACTGGATTAGATTTGAATTCCCACCATTGTTCATTTTAAATTTATTTGGAGTTTATGGTTTTATTTAATAATTCAAAGATGTAATTATGAAACTACTATCTTTTATTGAATGAAGCTCTTGATATACTAGTAGACAAGGCCCAGCACTACACAATGGGACCACTAGGATATTGTGGTTTATTTTCACAACCAGAAAAGGAAACATGTTTTGTTTTAAAGGATATTTAAAAATATATGAGGCAAGATAGTAATGTAAAGAGATCATTATAATATGGTGTGAGAAACATGATTTGAGGCTGGTCTGACATTCACTCCCACACTGGTAGAAAAAAAGGGAACTCAGGAGCTGAGCTGCTAAAAAGAGAAAAGGTCTTCACTGAAGTTAACAAGAAAAACACTATGAGTTGTTACCTGTGAATCCTTCTATATGCATCCTGTTCTTCCTGACACAGGATCTTTGGCAGCTCTACTGCTGACTCAAGGCATACTTTCCCTATAGTAATATGAGGTACAATATGGATTGGGATTTCAATTCTCTCATACCTGAAAAACAACCAATTTAGGTCACATTTTGTCCCTTAGTTAAAGTAAGTTCTTTACACTTTAACTGAGACTTTGGGATATGGAGCTTCAAAGATTACATATTACTATAATTTCTTAAGTCACTCAATTTGAAAGTAGACAGAGTTCAAATTAGGCTTTTCTGGAGAGCAAATTAGAAGTCTATTTGTACATTCATTATTCTCTAATACCTTGGAGAAATCAAATCCATTTTTGAAAATTTCACAGAAACCTTTAGGAATTCAAAATCAACATGGCCAGCTGCCCAAATAAAAGAAACAACTAATAATGCTGTTAGTCAATAAGTTGCCATGAAGCTGATAAACTGACTCCAATGCAGATACTCCAGTGACACTATCAGATTCATTTTGTAGATGGAATTATCACACAAATAACTAGCATCCCTCAATTTTTATTCTCTTCTATGAATAAAACTAGGTTAGATGTTTACACATACTTCCATTCCAGAATAGAACGGATGGTACAGACAGGCTTGCTCTAAATTCAGTCAAGCTACCTGTATTTATTTCTCACTCCCAATATGTATGACTAAATTCTACGTTAACAGTGGAGTCACCTGGTCTTCTCTTCTCCATCTGCATCTGGGTTCTACTTGGACTCAGTGTTTATGTATGGGTGTTTGCTCCTGCTTCCAACAGGTATTAGATGAGGGCTCCAAGGAAAAGTTAGTTGTTGATGTTACTATCCAGGATGGGCATTTATGGTAGCCTTTCCACAGAAGCTCAAATTGTTAGTTGGCGGCAGTCTTGTAGGTCTCTAGAGGTTTCTTTGGTTTCAATTTTATATTCAAACCAATATTGGCTCCCACTTTTATGTTCTCTCTCTCTCTCTCTCTCTCTCTCTCTCTCTCTCTCTCTCTCTCTCTCTCTCTCCTGTCTTCTATTCCTAACCAGGTTCAATCTTCCTGGTCGCATGGGTTTTCCTTTCCTTCCCCTCGTGTTCTCCTACTTCTCTCTCCATTCGCTGCCCCACACCCACTTCCCCTGTGCACTGGGGGACTTGTCCCTTCCCGGTTCTGTGAGGGACTTTATATGAATCTCTTAGAATACACCTTGTATCCTAGTTCCTCTGGTGGTGTGAATTATAGGCTGGTGATCCTTTGATCTAAGTCTAAAATCCATATATGAGTGAGTACATACTATGCTCCTCTTTTTGTGACTGGGTTACCTCCTTCAGGATGGTTTCTTCAAGTGCCATCCATCAGGCCCCCCTGAATATGGGTCTTAGCCAGAAGGACTGAGCAGACTAAGGGACCTCAGACAGTGAAACCAGGATGTATCCCTGGTGCACAAAAGGACCTTGTGAACACATCCCCCATGGAGGGATAACTGCCTTAACCTAGAGACAGGAGAAAAGCCCTAGTCCTTACTTCACATGACCTGTCAGATCTACATGACCCCAACTGGATGGCAGTCCCCTACATATGGAATTGGGGTGGGGGGATGGGAGGGGAGAGTCATTAGGGTGCATGTGAGAGGGCAGAGAGGGTAAAAGGGAGGGAGGGAGAGGAAACTGGGATTGACATGTAAAATAATAAATTAAATTAAAAAAATGCTTTGACTCCAAAATTTAAGTTCAAGGACAAGTTACTGGGGAAAAGGATTTCTATTTTTGTTTCCACAGAAAATGAAAAACGGTAGATTCCTTCCAGACTAATGTGGTTTGATCAAGCCAGACCGCCTGAAACAGAGTACCAGGTGATCCTACATTCAAAACAGCTGGACAAAGCAGCCTGACAGACTACAGCCAGGATTTCTGCATCTTCTTAGAATCCCCCAAGACAGCGCCCCTTACCAGCAGGAAGTAGTTTGGAAAGAACGACGCCCAAATTCCCAAATATTGTCTATAAATGTTTGTTTTCATTTAAATGGACTTGGTTATATAAACTAAAAAAAAAAAAAAAAAACAGTGGAGTCAGTGTAGGATCTAGTCTTGGAGCCCTCTACATTATGAAATCCATAGGTACATGATAGTAAAATAGAATAATATCTAGTTCTGTTTTTTCTTCATACCCACCAAAGTGACTTTGGATCCTATATCATCACTTAGATGAAATATACCTGACAGGAAATTATAACTATCCTTCATTTATCCATATTCACATAATCAGGGGAGAGCTAATGAAACAATATACAATAGTAGCGTTTGAGAAAATGCCACTTTTGGGAGTAAAACACAGTGGTTATTATTAATGATGGATCCAGAAACACTGAAGAAGTCAAGTCTGCTACTCTTAGTTCTCTTAACAAGTTTGCCAACTCAGTTTTCTGGGTGCATAAGCAGAAATGGTCCCAACACTATACCATATTTGGACATACATTTCCATAAATTCACAGAAGAAACTTCAGAGTTTCTTTCAGCTGACAAAAACTCAAATCCTAGAACCAAGATAAAACCATGGATATCTAAACCTTAAGACAGAGATTCTGCCTCTGATAATGAACTAGCTATTATAACCAGCCTTCCTGCTAAAAACAATTAAAATTTACTTAAAGAAAAAATTGCCTAGTGCACAAATGGACTTTGGGAGACCATTCCACATTGAGTGATACTCCCTCAGCCTAGACACATGGGGGAGGGCCTAGGCCCTGCTCTAAATGATGTGACAGACTTTGAAGATCTCCATGGAAGACCTCACCCTCCCTGGGGAGCAGAAAGGTGATGAGATAGGGGGTGGGAGGTTAGTGGAAGAGGAGAGGGAACTGGGATTGACATGTAAAACAAGACTGTAAAAAAAAAAAAAAAAAAAAAAAAAAAAAGAAAGAAAGAACTCATTGGAGAGCTACCAAGACAATAAGTAATGGCAGGGCCAACAACTAAAGAGAGAGAAAATTTCAGAGATGAGCCTTACAGATCCACTTTTCCTAGAAATTATGGTTCTAAATGAGGAAAATTTAGGATAAGAAATTGCAAAGAGTTCAAAATACTGATGAGTTCTGGATGACAAAATTATAACTGAGGACATGAAAGGGTAGAGAATCCCTGTGAAGTATTCTCAGGTATATGATGGTAAACATACTAGTAACAAAAATAGAACCAAATTATTGTACTGGCTGGTTTTGTGTGTTAACTTCACACAAACCAAAGTTATCAGAGAAAAAGGAGCCTCAGTTGAAGAAATGCCTCCATGAGATCCATCTTTAAGACATTTTATCAATTAGTGATCAATGGGAGAAGGTCTAGCTCATGGTGGGTGGTACTATCCCCAGGCTGGTGGTCCTGGGTTCTATTGGAAAGCAGACTAAGCAAGCCATATGTTACAAGCCAGTAAGCAGCTTCCCATCATGGCCTCTGCATCAGTCAGCTCCTGGTTCCAGGTTCCAGCCCTGCTTGAGTTCCTGGCCTGATTTCCTTCAATGATAGACTAAAATGTAGAAGTGCAAGCCAAATAAACCCTTTTCTCCCCAACTTGCTTTTAGGTCATGGTGTTTCATCACAGCAATAGAAACCCTAACTAAGACAATTATATAGGAACTAGAAGCCTAAGTTTTAATACAAAGTGATCTGGTAGTTCTACTAGTTAGACTATAGAAAACCACCAAAACCCTTTCTGTCACTATAAGCAAGAAAATATCAGATAAAATATAAAGGAAAATATCTGTTAAATATGAATACAAAAGTAATTTCAAATAAATTATGTCCTAGAGAAAAACAATTTATTAATTGAGCAGAGATTAGTGACCATTCTTCTCATTTGAGACAGAGAAAAGTACATGATAGGGCTTTGCCTGAAGCTTAACTCTGCTAGTAGAAGTGAATAGGGCTTATAATAATAATTATGTGGGTATATGAGATAGGTTGAAACATGTAGAAGTCTTAAACAGAATTGATTCAACTCCACTATCAAATGTAAGCCACAAGTTTTGCTAAGAACATGGAGAATGAGATTTGAGCTGAAAAGCAAAGAGAGCTTCAGCATTTCATATTTCTTAAATCTAAAATTCATGATAACATGGGAAATGTGATGACCATTGGGCAGCCGTCACCTTGTGCTCATACCCCAACGAGAGAAAAAGAGTAAATAAAAAGGCAAAGAAGGAATTTTAAAAATAAAGTAGGAATATAGTTCTGACCCAGGTAACTTCTGAATGGATGGATATGTCAAGCCTTAAAATTTATATGAAATACTTCATTGAATAATGAACTAATTCTCTTTTTAAAAATTTTAGGCAGGGCTTCTTGATATAGCTCAAGCAGACTTGGAACTCACTCCATATCTCAGCCTGGTCTCACACTTGTGATTTTTCTACCTCAGTCTTCCTACTACTGGGATTACAGGCCTGGATTATCATATCTGACTCTTATCTATTCTCAAATGCACATGGAACTCTCTCCCCAAGATAGACCACATGTTAGGCCATACAACATCTTATCAAAATTTAAAAGTATTTTTTCTGATTACAGCATAAGGAAACAAGTAATGAATGGTATGAGGAAAAGTAGAAAATCCACAGATTAATAAATTAAACCAGATGCTCTAAAACAACAAATGGGTTAAAGAACTCATAAGAGAAATTGGAAGAACCCTGAGACAATGAAAACACATTTAATCTATTATGAGATGAAACAAAAATAATATGATGAAGAAAGTGAACACTGATTACTTTTTTTATAACCATGAACATGTACATTGAAAAAGAATTAATAGTAAAAGCTCAGTGGGCAAAGGTATTTGTTGCACAAGAATAATGACCTGAATCAGATTTCCACAACCCAAACAGTAGAAGAACTCCAGAAATTTGTTCTCTGACCTTGATAAGTGTACCATGGCATAGTACATCATGAGACATCATACACATGTGCATACAAAAACACATATGCATACACATGTAATAAATATTTTTTAAAGTTGGGTGTGATGGTGCATGCCTATAATCTCAGCACACAGGAAGCACAGGCAGGATGAGCTTTGAGTTCAAAGCCAGCCTAGCCTAAAGAGCAAGTTCTAAGACAGGGCTACT